AGAGAGAGAGAGAGAGAGAGAGAGAGAGAGAGAGAGAGAGAGAGAGAAAGGACCAAGAGGATGGCATGGAATTCTTTAAAAGTCCAGTAAGAATCAAGTCTGGTGGCTCACATCCGTATTCCCTGTATCTAAGAGGCTGGGGTGAAGGAACTAATGAGCATCTGAGGTCAGCCTGGGCTACACAGTAAAATCTAGGCCTTTAGAGACCCCTTCTCAAAAAAAATATATGTATGTGTGCATGTGTGTATGTATATATACATATGGGTATGTATATATGTGTGTGTGTATATATGTGTATGTGTGCACGTATGTATATGTGTGTGTATGTGTGTGTGTATATATAATATATATTCAATTTGTATATGTATATGGAAAAAGAAGGAAGTACAGCCACTCAGCTGGTCTGTTGGCAGAGCAACCCCCACCGAGGCACTTACCTGGGTTGTCCCCGGTGAAGGCTACCACTTCACATCCTGGAGGGAATCCATAGCGCTGGACATAGTAGGAAGAAATGGATCCCTAGGGAGAAAGAACACTGTGTTCTGCTGAGGTAGCCACAGCCTGCTCAGCACAGCCACACACACCTCAACCTGGGAGACCCCTGGTTCCAGGTCACAGGTGCAGAAGGAATTTTCCACACCTCGGGCCATGAGGATGCTGCAGGCATCTGTGGCACAGCCTGAAGCTCCACCATCTTTCCACAGACCGACCCCAGCACAGGTTTAGAACTACAGGCTTGAGGTCGGTCACCTTGAGGATCACATGAGTTTGAGAAATTCAGGATAGTCGACACATAGCAATCTCCAACTTCTACCTACTTTGTGAACACCAAATTCTGGATACAATGTTGAAGGAAAAAGTAACATTGGTAAGCAAGCTCGGGGACACAGCAAGTGCCCCATTCATTTATTACTCGGCAACTAGAATAAGAATAAGAATAATAAGATAAACATGGGCACAGAACAGAGTTCTAAAGAAAACTAACCTCAGAGTCAGCTTGGGCTAGCCTGAACTAGATAGCAAGCTCAAGGCCAACCTGGGCTACATGACTACTGACTATCTCAAGAAAATGGGGGTAGGACTGGAGAGACAGCTCAGAGGTTTAAAGCACTGACTGCTCTTCCAGAGGTCCTGAGTTCAATTCTCAGCAACCACATGGTGGCTCACAACCATCTGTAATGGGATCCGATGCCCTCTTCTGGTGTGTCTGAAGACAGCTACCGTGTACTCATATACATAAAATAAACAAATCTTAAAATGAGGGTAGATTAGAGGTATAGCGCACTTGGCAGAGTGCTCAACTAGGATGCACGAAACACTGGATGTGGTCCCCAGCACCATGGAAACCCAGGCATGGGAATGGGCTGCAGACATAGCTCAGCAGTTAAAGCACTTGCTGCTGTAGCAGGGGACCTGGGTTCGGTTCCCAGCATCCACACAGTGCCTCACAACCACTTGTAACTCCAGCTCCAGGGAATTTGATGCCCTCTTCCGAACTCCGTGCACACACACATAGGCAACCATTCGTACACACAAATCTAAAAAAAAAAAATCTAAACCAGGCATGGTGGTGTACATGTAATCTTAGCACTCAGGAGACGGAGATAACAGATCAGAAGTTTAAGGTTATTTTTGACTACACAGCAAGTTCTCAGCCAGCCTGAGGAACCAGAGACCCTGAATAATAATAACAACAACAACAGCAACAATAACAATAATAGCAGTAGTGATAATATTAATAATGGCGGTGGGGGAGGCAGAGGCAGGCAGATCTCTGTGAGTTTGAGGCCAATCTGGTTTGCAGAGTGAATTCTAAGACAGGAGTATCACACAGAGAAACTCTGTCTTGAAAAACCAACAGTAGTAGTAGTAATAGCAATAGTAATAGTAATAGTAATAAAAATAATAATAACAACAATAATAATAATATTATCATCATCCTTTTAAACCCAGGATCCCTTTAAAACAAGATCAGAGTCCATCTCTCCCACAAAAGATAAATATTCTTTAGAAAGAAGTTAAAAAGGGCAGGGCAAGCCAGACAATGGTGGCACACGCTTATGATCCCAGTGCTCTGGAGGCAGAAGCAGACAGATCTCTGTGAGTTCGAGGCCAGCCTGGTCTACAGAGTGAGTTCTAAGACAGGCAGAAATACATAATAAAACCCTGTCTTGGGGGAATAAAAAAAAAAGCGAGTGAGCGAGCAAGAAAGCAAAAGAAAGAAAGAAAGAAAGAAAGAAAGAAAGAAAGAAGGAAAGAGAGAGAGAAAGAAAGAAGAAAAGAAGGAAAGAAAGAGAGAGAGAGAGAGTAAGGCATGACAGCTGATGTCTATAATCCTAACTCAGGAAGCTGAAACTGGAGGATGACATGAATTCAAGCCCACTCTATACTACATAGTAATAGACCAGCATGAATTACACAGTAAGATTGACTCAAACACATTTTTTTTTTTTGATTTTTCGAGACAGGGTTTCTCTGTGTAGCCCTGGCTGTCCTGGAACTCACTCTGTAGACCAGGCTGGCCTCGAACTCAGAAATCCGCCTGCCTCTGCCCCACAAGTGCTGGGATTAAAGGCGTGCGCCACCACTGCCTGGCAGAAACACATTTTTTAAAGATAGTGTTTCCCCTACTAGGAGAAGAAAAAAAAAATTCCATCCATCAATGTTTTGAATTTCCAACAGAACAAGCCCTCCTCTAAGAAAATACCTGGCTTTGACCTAGGTTGCCTCAGAGCAAGAATGTGCTGAGGCCTGTGGCCTATGTACAGTGAATGTAGAGGGGTGACCTAGGAGAGTAGAGAAAACCTGAGGGTGCCCCAAAGGCAATGAGGCGGTAGCCACAGAGGAACCTCTAAAAGCTGAGGTTGGTCCTGAGAACTGACTCCCTGGGCACAAGCAGGGATCGGTCACTCACCCACAGGCTCCTGTGCCCTCCACACTCACAGGACACATCAGGAGTCAGGGAGGCCCCAACATAGAAAGTTTGGTTCCAACAGGGGTGACACCCAGTGAAGTCACAGTGACTTCTCATTGGCATTTGGTCAATAAGTGGAAACACATTTTCTCAGAACTGGTTCTTTCCTGTTCCTCTAATACTTGCCTCTGAAAAGACTCCTTAGAGGTATTCTTGGCGTTATATAAGCAAAGCCCATGTCTTAGACAAAGCTTTGGTCTCCATTTCTCATGAAACAAAAGGCCGCATTCCAAGGCCTCACTGTACACACAAAACCCCAAAAATAAAAGCAAAATCCCCACACTTCCAGTCAGACTCAATCCACTGACATGGGGCTTGGCCCATAGTGACCCATGATATCTTACAGATAACTGAAGTTTTACCTTTTGGTTTGTTTTTCTGTGACAGGGCCCCAATAAGTGGCTCTGACTGCTCTGGAACTTGCTATGTAGACCAGGCTGGCCTGGAACTCATGGGGATCAAAGGTGTGGGCCACTACTCCATGCCTGAAGCCTAATTCTAATTATCTTCCTCCTCTTCCTCTTCCTCTTCCTCCTCTTCCTCCTCCTCTTCTTCCTCCTCTTCCACCTCCTTCTATTCTTCTTCCTCCTCTTCTTCCTCCTCCTCCCCCTCTTCTTCCTCCTCTTTCTCTTCTTCCTCCTCTTCCTCCTCCTCCTCTTCTTCTTCCTCCTCCTCTTCCTCCTCCTCCTCTTCCTCCTTCTCCTCCTCTGCTTCTTCTAATGCTTGAACATCCCTACTCAACAAGGTAACCTGGTATCCACTTGTCCACATCGGTGGACCCCACACAGTGGCACAAGAGATAAGACAACTATCTCCCCTTGGCTGCTGTAAATGAACTCTCACCCTCTTTCAATGGTGTGATCCTCTCTACATACAAGAACGGGGCTGGCCAATCAGAGCGCACTTGGATGTTCACAGCCCACATCTATTCCAAATGAGTGGCCCCATACTTGTGGTCAAGTGCCGGTAAGTTACTTGTTTGTGTGCCCAACCACCCTCTGAAACCCTCTGAACATACTGTATCTCACCTCACATGCTCAGTGGCCTTGTACTCAGACAGTATTATCTCCAGAAGAGGAAGGTGGGACACTAATTAAATACAGGCAGGCTGAGCTAGGTGTGGTGGTGCTCCTTTAACCTCAGTACTAGGAGGCAGAGGTAGGGGCGTCTCTTTGAATTCTAGGCCAGACTGGTCTACACAACAAGTTTCAGACCATCTAGTGCTATACAGAGACCCTGCCTCCAAACACCAATAAGCCATAGATGGGAGGTTCTGAGTGCAGCCAGGGTTTAATCTCAGTCTGTTCTGTCTGTCAGATCTTCGGTATCTCTGTTTTCCAAAGCCTACCTGCTGCAAGCTTCCATGCTTTTGCCCAGAATTTCAGCACTCTGCATGTCTACCCTTAGGAGTGCAGTCACCTAGAAATCCTTCAGATAGCTTGGGAACCTAGCTGTGTATTTGAATGCTACTGCGTTATCCAGACACGCTGACTAATTTCAAATGTTGCTGATCTTAGGCTTAGGGGAAATCCCCCCCCCTCTCTCTCTGTGTGTGTGTGTGTGTGTGTGTGTGTGTGTGTACGACCCTAGGCTCCACCAGCAGTGCCCAAACTCACACTGAAGTCACTACCGGAAAGAGAGATGACTTACCACAACTGAGCAGGAAGGGACTGGTGAACCCAGCTTCTCCTCCAAATGGGGGGCACAGACATCCAGACAAGCTCGGGACCAGACTTTTTCCTGGATCTGCAACAAATTCATTCCAGAACCTAAGGAAGGAAGGAAACAAAAATAAAAGCCTCTGGAGGGCTGGGAGCTTTGGCGGCAGAGATAAGTCAAACTGGCAGAGAGAGTTAACTCTCTAGTGCAAAGGTATGACTAGTTCTCTTTCTTTGTTTGCTTTTTTTTTTTTTTTAAAAAGGGATGCATTTACTTGCTTTTCTATGAATGGATGCTTGCTTGTATGTATGTCTATGCACCACATATGTATGGTGCTCGTGGACTCGAGAACACAAACGTGTGACACATTTGAAAACGGAATTTCAGACGGATGTAAGTTGCCAAGTAGGTACTGGAAACTGAACCCAGGTCCTCTCTCCAAGAGCACTGAGCCTCCTCTCCAGCCCTGTGGCTGGGTCTATGTCATCACAGAAGGAAGGGAACATGCTTGGTCCACTTTGAACCTAAGAGCCAGAAGGCAGCAGGGCCCATATAAGTAAACCGTGTTTCCACCTCCTCCAGATACTCCCCACAGACTCTCATCACACAGGAAGCCTGAGAAAATGCTGTTCTGAGGCCTGCCAGGGACAGGTACTTCCCGACGACATGCTAACCAGCAACTGGTCCCTTGTCCTGTGGGCTTTAAGGCACCCATCTGAGGCAGCCTTGAGAGAGGGCAGTCCTCAGATTTCCTGAACTCATGGCCCTATCTAGGAAAAGACATGTAAGGTGAGGGTCCTCAGGATGACAGCTTAAAAAAAAGATTTAGTATTTTTATTTATATAAACAACATATTATTATTATTAATGTGTTGATGTATTTGACTGTGGATATGTGCACATGAAGGCAGGCACCCAGAGAGCCCACACAAAGCTGGACCCAGTGGTTGTGAGTCACCAGACCCAGGTGCCGGGAACTACTGGGTGGTCTGCAAGAGCGGCCCATGCTCTGAAGTACTGAGCCGTCTCTCCACAAAGAGAGCAGAGCTGCACACTTCCCATCCATGTGTCACTACGCAAGGAGGCCTCGAGAGCTGCCAAAGAGCTTCACATGCCTAGGAGTCAAAACATCTTTGTTTGTTTTTGTTCTTTTCTTCCAGGCTGATCCTAAACTTCTTACATACTTTAGCATGACCTGGGACTTCTGATCACCCTCTCTCTAACCCCTAAGGCTGGGATAGCAAGCAGATACCAGCACACCCAGTTTGACATAGTGCTAGAACTACCCAGGGCTTCATGCACTGGGCATGCACTCTACCAACTAAGCTATATCCCAGTCCCCAAATAAACTTCCATTCTTTATATATTACCTGGTCTTAAATATCTTTATTACACCAACAGAAAATGGACTAAAATAGTCTCACACTCGTCTATGAGTTCTTTCTTCTTTTTAAGGATCAAGCACTCTTTATGTATATGAGTATACACTATAGCTATCTACAGACACACCAGAAGATCCCTTTAGAGATGGTTGTGAGCCACCATGTGGGTGCTGGGAATCGAACTCAGGACCTTTGGAACAACAGTCAGTGCTCTTAACAACTGAGCCATTTCTCCAGAACATCTATGAGTTCTTTCAAGAACTTCCTCCCAGCTTCCCCTCCCTGCTGACGTCACTTCTATTTTATCAGAGTTTTGATATCAAAAGTTCACAATTCTGAATGGGGCATGGTGGCATACGTTTGTAATCAGAGCAACCTCAGGAGGCAGAGGCAGAGTTTGAAGCAAGCCTGGGCTATATATAATGAGTTCAAGGCTAGCCTGGAGCACACAGAAAAATCTTGTCTAAAAAACTAAAACCAAAGGGTAGGGAGCGATGATTAAGGTTAAAAGCATGTGCTCCTCTTGTAGGAGCTCACTTTGGCCTCCAGCACGCACGTCAGGTGGACCACAGCTTCCTACAGCTCCAGAGGGGTCCAATGCCTCCAGCACCCACATCAGGTGGATCACAGCTTCCTACAGCTCCAGAGGGGTCCAATGCCTCCAGCCTGCATGGACATCACACAGGTGCACACACACACACACACACACACACACACACACACACACACACACAAATCATTAAATAAAGTAAATCTATTTTTTTTTAAATCCCTAAGCCAAAAACTAAAACAAAATCCACCATGCAGAGCGTAGTGGTGCACACCTGTTACCCTAGAAATGAGACAGCAGAGGCAAAAGGTCAGACGTTCAAGGTCAGTCATCAACTGCTTCACTGTAAGCTTAAGGCCTGGGTTTCAAGAGACTGTAACTCACAGAACAAAATTGGGCTGAATAATAAATAAGGAAAGAAGATACATAAGAATTCGTAAGTTTGCCAAGCATGAACAACACAATAAGAAGATTACTGAAGCCAGGGTCCAAGATGCTACCTGAGGATCCTTGCCTCTGGTACTCACACCATGTGAGGTGCCTTTATAATGATCCCTGCGATCAGAAGGCTGAAGCAAGGAGCATCCGCTCGGCCCCTTCTCTCATTGCTCCCCTCCCTCTCCCCCTCCCTCCCTCTCCCTCTCCTTTCACGTCCTTTCTCACACAGCCCCTCTTCCTTCTCATAGTCCCATCAAGAACCTTACAGAGGGACTTTGGAAGCTTCCCCGACCCTGCCATCCTCCAGATGCTTGCACCCTTGCTGCTAGTTTGCCTGCTACCCTGTGTGTGATCTTGAGCCAGGACCACCCAGTCCGGCTACTGGTACATTCCAGACTAAAGGATCCTCGGACACAAAGGGAGAACATAAACCGTTGCCATCTTCAGACGATGAGTGAAGAGAACACTTGTCACACAGCAGAAATGATGAGAGCCACATGACAGGCACCTAAGCTGGATGAGAAGAATGCAGTCCCCATGGCCACCCTACACAGGAGCTAGTGTGTTCTGAAAACTTACCATCGCTGTAGTCGATGGGCGAGTACCCACCCAGGAACAGTGAGGCAGCAAAGCTGCTGACCAAGGAAATTCTCTGGAAAAGAAGGAAGCAGGGTGAGGTAGGACTGACTTCCACACACACCCAAGCTACTGAACACTTCACACACACACACACACACACAAACACACACGCACACTTATACATGCACAGAGGCACACAAGCATATACATGTGCATACTCACACATATATATACTCATGTGCACACACACAGGGCCACATAAGCACATGCACACACATGTATACTTACATGTGCACACAGCACATGCACACACACACATATGCATATATGCACAACACACCCAGAGGCACACAAGCACATACATGTGCACACTCATGATCACACACACACACACATACACTCAGAGGCAAACAAACACATGCACACACATGTAAACTCACACACATACACACACATGTACGTTCACATGCACACACACACAGGTGCACATATAGAGGCACACAAGCACATGCACATACATGTGCATGTACACAAACACACACACCATGAGTTGAGAATGGAAGCTGAAGCTTCAGCAGGCAGTGATGGAGACAGAGCATCCACTCAGAAGCAGCCTGAGTTCTCAGTAGCACTGCTTTAAAGCAAGGAACCCATCATGACGGATGACATCAGCAGCCAAGGCCCTGCGAACATGCCACACTTAGGGAGGCTGGTTCCCACCTGGAATCCATACATGCACTCTCAATACCTCATTCCACGTCTGCATCTTTGACATTTGGTCACAGGAAGCGACCAGAACATGAAAAGTGTTACGACTCTCAAAGCTACCAAAAGTTAAAGACAAACTGTCAGCTCCACAAGAATCTACAAGACCCAGTCTTACTCTCAAGAGAATCACTGATGGGCTCTAAACATCAGCCTGGGTGTCTTAAAAGCGATTTTCATACCGAGGGCCCCTAGAGTGGAGGAGAGAGCCACCTCTTTTAGTCCCCACTGGGACATACACCTCATTCCGCACAGATAAGGAGAGTTTTTCACTCTTCAGTGGCTAATTCTGCAAAGTAGTTTGAAATCTGGAATCATTAAATAATAAATTGCAGCCAGGTATAGTGGTGTAGTCCCGTGATCTCAGCACTTGAGGCAGAGGCAGGGGTTTGAAGCCAAGCTCGGCTAAAAGAGTTCAAAGCTAGACTGGGTTAAACAGAAAAACCCTGTCTCAAGAACCATAGGCGAAACAAAGCACCAAATGCTGTGGCAGGGATGCATTCCTGTGATTTTAGCTCTTGGGAGGTGGAGGTAGGAGAATCCTCGATCAAGAGATCTCCAGCTTCATAGAAAGCTCGAGAACAATCTGTGCTACATGAGACCCTGTCTCAAAAACAATATTCATAACTCCTATGAATCTGCCAAAACCACAACAAGTAGTTTATTGTGGGAGCCAGGCTTCAAAATGGCCTCTGTGGAACCTTCAGGGACCCACCCTACTTCATATATGTGCGGAATGAGGTGGCAGCACCACCCATGAGCTGGGGGTTGGGCTGCATGAACAGGGAAAAGTAAGCTGTGTGGCTGTGTGGTATGGCTTACGGCTATTGACTACGGGAGACAACTGAGCCCTCTGTGTATCTAGAATTAGAAAAGATGTAGATTTTTTTGCCTTTGTTTTTCATTTGTTTTCCTGTATTTATTATGTGAGAGAAGTGTGTATATGTCATAGCACTTGTGTGGAGGTCAGAGGGCAACTTTTAGAAACTGGTTCTCTCCTTCCACCCTGTGGGTTCTGGGGACCGAACTCAGGTAGTCAGGCTTGGAGGTGACTGAATCTGAGCCGCCTCAACAGCCCCTCTCTGGTCCAGTTCACACCTATTAGCATTAGCCAGTGCACATAAGATGTGCTCAGGCTCAGGTGAGTGTGAGTCCAACAGAACATGAAGGCTCACCCACCTCAGAGTGTGAGTAGGCCTCAGGGTTCTTCTGGAAAAGCTTTGCAATCTGGTTCCCTGTAAAACGCTGGAGAGAGAAAGAGAGCACAGACTCTTAGAAACCCAGTTCCTACACAGAATAATCACAAAGCAAGCACGATCTGGGTACAGCGGAGAACACAAACAGCTTTGAAGAAGCTAGTCCCAAATCTAGAAATTACCAGCTGGACACCAAAGTTGGGTGTATTTTAGCCTTTGAGTCCTGGAAATGTTCTTGGCCATGAACTCTTAGGCAGTCAACAATCCCTCAACACCTACAGACAAAGCAAATCCCAGCTTCCTGGGAGGGCTTCTCACTAGCCAATCAGCTCTGTGAATAGTCCTTACAATAACTGTCCTTAAAAATATTATTTATTTCTTTTGTTAATGAGTCCTCATCTGTGCCTGAGTGTGCGTCTGTGTGCCCTGTGTGAGCAGGAACCTACAGACACGAGAGGATAGCATCGGGTTGCCCCGGAACTACAGCTACAGGTAGCTATGAGCTGTCACGTAGGAACGGAACCTAGGCCCTCTGCAAGAGCAGCCAGTACTCAGAGCCCCATCTCCAGCTCCAGGAGCATCACAGGCTGGGCTCAGGTATTCTCCTTGTGGAGATCTTATTCCTAGTGTTTTAACCGGGCTTAAGGATTTGGGTTTTGTTTTGTTTTTCCTTTATTTTTTTTCTTTATGATAGAGGCATATGCGTGTGCCTTCCTCACAAAGATAAAAATGTATGTGTGTTTGTGTGTGTGTGTCAATGTGTACTTGGGTGCCCAAGGAGGCCACAAGAGGGTGTCCAATACCCTGGGGCTCGGGTTACATGCTGTTGCCGTTGTTGCTCACCTGATGTCCTGGGAACTGAGTCTTTGCAAGTACAAAGTGCACTCTGATCTGCTGAGCAATCTCTAGACCTCCAGCCACAATCATGTGACCCAAGATAGCCAATCACAACAAACTCTGGAACAGTGGCTAAAGCCCTTGAGGCCCCACACTAAGGGTCTTCTGGATTTTTAACTCCTTTCAAAACTACCTGAAATAGAAGTCCTACTTGTTATCATGAGGCTATGGACCTCTGTCTGAGGCAGCACACAGTACTTCAGTATGCTTGGATCAGAACCCAAGCCTGCATGCTCCACTCCTGCTTCAAGGACTACACTAATTACTTCAGATGATGTGGCTACCAGGTAGGGCACCCAGAACCCTACTCTCTACCCTGGCACGTCACCTACCTCATAGGCCCGAGACCCTGTGAGGCAGCTAAGAGCCCGGGCCCCACCCACAGCAGCCTCCAACTGGTGACACTGGGCTGTAGTACTGGAGTCCATCCATATTGGGCAGTCACTGATAGAAAAGCAGTCCTGGAAAGAACAGTGGAAGTTCAGACTTCTGTTCTCCCACTGACTGCAGGCAACTCCGAGGCTGGTAGTCACCCTGTCTGTCATACTAGAAAGACCTTGTGGATAAGCCCTCTGTAGGGTCAATGAGGTCTCTCCAGAAAGTCTGAGGATGGGTGATCTCAGCTGAGGGCACCCGGGCAAGTCAGGCTGCAGGAGACAGTGACATCAAAGTGCAGCTCTAGCTGGGGCTTTGGAAATAAGAAGAGAAACTGGAGACCCACCTCCCAGCATCACCAGGGAGCCCACAGCTGTTCTGTGAAGGAAAGGGCTCACTAATGGGGGGTCACCTACAAGGAGACTTCAGCCTGGGAGGCTGGGAAGACCATGCTCACTGAACCGTCAATGCCACCTTCTCACAGTGCAGAGAAGCCTCGGATTGCGGCGCCACAGGACATAGGGGCCCCTCTGCCTGCTTTGCGGTTTATTAGATTCACAAAACATCCTCACCTGCAGCTGCTGATGTAATGGGAGAGCTGGTGACAGGCTTGACAGAGCCAGGCTGGCTCCAGTCTTCCAGTAAACGCTCCCGTGTTGCTGTAGAGAGGTACGAAAGTACATGTTCACTCACCATGCCCCAAGACACATGTACACCTGTTCACGCACTGTGCCCTGGAGTCACAGCCGCCTGCAGAACCACACCCAGATCTCAAGCCTGTCTCTGCCACCTCTCTGTCATGTATCTCAGTGTCTTTATGACACTTGATTTTCACTTTTATAAAATGAGAACTTGCAGGAAGGGTTCCAGAACCACTGGACCGTATTTTGGAGTTTTTCGTCAAATTGTACTAATATTCGACATCACTGACATGCCACCTGGAGCCGACACATGACACCTATTCACTTAACAAACATCTTGGGCACCTAGAGCATGTCAGGCCTCAGACAAAAAGGTTATTTCTGCCCCTGGTATCCAGGACCATGAACTCAAATGAGGGAAAGACACAAAAGTGCCATTACAAACCCTGCAGAGACTAGGGGATGGCCTGGTCATTAAAGTGCTTGTCTTACAAGCATGAATACCTGAGTTCAGACCCTCAGAACCCACATTAAAAAAATAATCTGGAGTGTAGAGAGATACCTCCGTGTTTAAAGGCACTGGGTGCTCTTCCAGTGGTCTGGATTCAACCCCCAGCACCTACATGGTGGCTCCCAACCATCTGTAACTACAGTTCTCAAGAATCTGATAACCTCTTCTGGACTCTGCAGGCACCAGGTATGCATTTGGTGCACTCATGCATAGAAAATAATAATAAATAAGCAAACTTCAAAAAAAAAATCTAGAGGGCCAGAAAGATAGCTCAGTGGCCAAGAGGTCTGGTTGTTCTTCCAGAAGACCTGGATTCAATTTCCAGTACCCACATGGACATACAACACATCTGACATACAAGCAGACAAAAATACCTATATACATAGAATAATTTTTAAGAAAACGACAATAATCTGGGCATGGTGGTGTGCACTATAATCCAGCACTAGGGATGTGGGGACAGACAGCTTCCTGGGGCTCACTGGACAGCCAGCCTAGCCTACTTGCTTAGCTCTAGAACAGTGAGAGACACTATCTCAAAAAGCAAGGATGGCACCCAAGTTTATCGGCTGACTACACATATGTGCAGACATGTATACATGCATCCTCCCACACACAGACCTGTGGAGCCAAAGGGAAAAGCCACAAGAACACAGAGAACCTTGCCAGTGGGCCAACAGACTGGGCACATGGACAGTGGGTGGCATAGAGTTCCAGGCTGGCAGTATACACTGGAGTGTGAGCTGGGTACGTACTGCCAAGCCTAATAAACTGAGTCTAATCCCTGGTGTCTATGTGGAGAAAGAACAGAAGCAACTTCTGGAAGCTTCCTGAGACCTCCACACACAGGTGGCATAATATCACAAAGACACACATGCAATAACTTTTTTTTTTAAAGAGTAGTTAAAACTTAAGAAAGTTTACTATGTTCCAGGCACTGTTCTATGTATTTAACAGCCACAGGGACCCTAGGCTAGATAAGGATATGGAGACCTCAGGAGTCTGGATGAGCCTCAGGTCAGGATCTAGGTGGCAGAGCTGAGCGCCTCCTCTGGTTGGCAATGCCACCGCCAGCTCAGAATCGCCACTGCTACTAGAGACCTAAAGGAGCTTAGCCAGTGCCCGGAGCTCACTCCAGCTCAGTTGTCAACAGTGGGAATACTTCTTCAGCTTCCTGCTGAAACTTCTCTCGGGGCTTGAGAAATGGCTCAGCACTTAAGGGAACTTGATGCTTTGGCAGAGAACTCGAACACCCACACAGGGGCTAGGAGTGGGGACTCACAACTGCCTGCAACCCTGGGCTCCAGGAGAACCAACATCCTCTTCTGGCCTCCAAGGGTGCCTGTACATCCATGCACTAACACACACACACACACACACACACACACACACACACCAGAACCACACACAAATAAACACACAGAACTGCTCTCATTGTTAGGATCACTTCTTATTGTTTAACCTCCAGGAACTAGAAAGAAATTTTAATGACACCAAACAGCCACAATAAATCCATATCTAATGCTTGCTCCATCCCTTTATGGGACCTGTGCACACTTCCTCTGCCATCTACCCTATTACACTAACTATGTCTATGTCTATTGAGTACTGAATAACACGCATGTTTGGCCTCATGCGTGTTAGGAAAATGCTCTACCACTGACTTGTATCTCTGGCCCTCGGTTTAACTTATTTTGAGACAGGGTCTCAACTTGCCAAGGCTAGCCTCAAACTCACCCAGGTAGCCCAGGTAGGCCAAAATGTCACATTTTATATAATGCTTTATCACAGAAGCAAGATCCTTCTCAGATTCTTTTGCAAGGAGGCCAGACATAGAAAGAGCTGAAAGTACTGTCACTACCAAAGAAATGTGTACTCAAGTTCAAGGCCAGCCTTTTCGACAGAGCAAGTTCCAGGACAGCCAGAGCTGTACAGAGAAACACTGTCTCAAAACAAAACTTTAAAAAAGAAAGGAAGGAATGAAGGAATGAAGGAATGGAGGGAGGGAGGGAGGGAGGGAGGGAGGGAGGGAGGGAGGGAGGGAGGGAGGGAGGAAGGAGGCAATTCATGCCCCCACAGGGAGCCATCAGCTCAGCACCCATCCACTACTAAGATAGTTAAGTCCCCAGGGCCCACAGAGCTGCTGTTGACAAACCTGGCCTGCTCCAGATAATGCTAGAACTTGAGAGAAGTCAAAGCCAGAAGCCTTCATCTTCTCCAGGATCAGGTCCAGAGCCTGAGAAGAAAAATAGAATCCACTGAGTTCTCTAACCACAAGCCTGAGCATAGAAATGCCAGGGGCTCTGCCTGGAGGAGAGTCCTTAACACAGGATCTATAAATAAGCAGGCATCAGTCAAATAAAACGGTCAACTTGACCAAACACACATTTTTTTGTGTCTGTTTTACATATGTATTTTGTTTGTTTGGGTTTTTTGTTTGTTTTTGAAACAGGGTTTCTCTGTGTAACCCTGGCTGTCCTGGAACTCACTCTGTAGACCAGGCTGGCCTCGAACTCACAAATCCGCCTGCCTCTGCCTCCCAAGTGCTGGGATTAAAGGCATGCACCACCACCGCCCAGCTACATATGTATTTTTATGAATGGGCACATACCCATGTGTATGTGACTGTATGCCCCCCATGTGTGGGGTGCCTGAGGTGGTCAGGAGAGGTCACAGACCCCTGTAGCTGGACTTACAGATGCTTATGAACAATCTGACATGGGCGCTAGGAACTAAACTCAGGTTTTCTGGAAGAGCGGCCACAAGCACTCTTAACAACTGAGTCATCTCTCCAGCCCATTTTTTGTTTTTTTAAGAGAAGATCTCATTGTAGTTCAGGCTAGCCACAACTCACTATCAGGCTAAGTGACGGGTTCCCTGAAGGTATCCAGGCAGGGAAGTGGGGAGGAGGGGAATCAAACTGGGCAAAGAGACAAGAATAAAAACCCAGTGCAGATTGACTTTATCAACCTAGATCAGATTTCGGGGAGTCTAATAACAAGTGGTTTATTCCTAATGTATTTAAGCCCTGTATAATTTGGGGGAAAAGTTTGCTGGTGTGAAACAATCTCCAGTGCACAAGGAAGCCTAACTGCATTGAAACTCAACTCTGGAATGTCATTTCTTCCAAGAAGGCGGGTTCTAGATATGCACTGCCTGTACTAGTGTCAGGGCCTAAGTGTCTGGCCTGGTCTCAGTCATACAGACAGCACAGAGGTCATCTGGGCTATTAGCCACCTCCAGTCCTACTTAAAGGAGCTTGATATGGCCTGGGCCACAGATGACGCAGATCGCCAGACTCTTCTTCATGACCCCAGCTCTCAGCTTTCTGAGGGAAGAACAGGTTTTTCATCTTCCCCATGGGAAAGACAATCCTGTGTGCCTAACATTCCTGGTTTCTCTGGAGATCTGTGGACACGAGGACCTTCGTGCTGTGCTCCAGCAAAGGATGGTCTTGATTGAACTCTTGACCTTTCCCGCCTCCACTTCTGAAGTGCTGGGGTTCCGGGTGTGCACCATCATGCCTACTCTAGCTAAGTAAGTGTCAGAGACATGAAATCATACACCGTAAATCTTCAGGATTTCCGCCTGTACTTGGCACCTTTTAAGCACTAGGGAAGAAACAAAGCAAATAGCTCATACTGTTTGTTTCTCTTTTACGTGGATTTTCTACATCTGAATGGTCTGACCTGAGTGCCACAGAGAAGAGCAGAGGGCTCCAGGGCCAGACTCTGACACAGGAGCCTGACATGGAGGAGTGAGTGGAGCCAGTGGCTGTCAAGACTCTATTCAATTTTTTTTTTCTAGGAGTAGGTGAGACGGACGTGGCATCCAGCAGAGTGTGACATTACCGTCCTCCAAGACCTTGTAGCCAGACGAACTGGGATATGGCTTTATTGGTAGAGCACTTGTCTACCATACCTAAAGCTGTGGATTCCATCCCCAAACCACATGAAACCAAGCACACGCTTAGTAGGGAGATAGAGAAGGGAGCATCAAGCCGGGTGGTGGTGGCGCACACCTTTAATCCCAGCACTTGGGAGGCAGAGGCAGGCGGATTTCTGAGTTCGAGGCTAGCTTGGTCTACAGAGTGAGTTCCAGGACAGCCAAGGCTACAGAGAAACCCTGTCTCGGGGGGGGGGGGGGCAAAGAGAAGGGAGAATCAGAAGTTCAAGGTCATCCTCAGCTACGCAGTATTTGAGGCAACTTGGAATACATGAAAACCTGTCTCTCTATATATTTCATGGCAGACAGACAGACAGACAAATATAAACATTTCATGGCAGGAATCTGAGACTCATTGCAGCTTGTGTCTCCTGAGGACAGAGAAATCACTCCAGCTCATGTCTAACCCTGAGATCCCCACTCCATGCTGGGATTATTCCAGGCCCTCACAATGCTTCTTGTCAAACCTTAGACAGGAGGGCAGGGATTGGCAAAGTTAGAAACAAGTTCAGCCCCAGTGGACAGCTCAGTGACCATCCTGGCTCTACCCATAACCCTGGATCTCCACCCACCCACCCTGACACAGCCCTTAACTTCATCTCTGGGACCTCTCCAACAGTGACCCTTGCCTCTGACCTCCCACTAGCACCTTGGGTCCTCTGAGGTGCATTTCAGCAAACGTTTCTGCTTAGAATTCATTGTTAACTCCACTCTCCCAGTATCTGACACATGATCAAGTAGATAAAACAGAACTCACAGTAGTCTGTTTAAAGAAAAAAAACAAAACAGAAATATAGGAAATGGTTAAATGGGTATGGGAGGATGGAGAAAGGTTTTTGGCAGACACACTAAGTGCTGCCTTTGGCTGGCTTCCAAGTTGAAGGCATGAGGCAAGCTCAGACCTATCAATGTTTATGTTGGATGGGTCCTTGTATGGGTCACCAGATCTGGCCACAGAAGGGTCAGGGTGGGTGGTCCTAACCAGGCAGGTCTAGCCTGGGGTTGATCTCAGCCTGACTAGTTAATTATAAGACAACATTCTAAGTGACCATGCTGTGGGGACAAATACTAAGACACTAAAACCCTGGGGCCATGCTTGGCCTGAAAGCCTGTCTCTGTGTCTTTTTAAAGGTGGCATAGGCTATGGATACAGCTCAGTTGGTAGAATGTTTGGCTAGCATGCAGGAAGCTCCAGGGCCACATACACTGGGCATGAAGCTACATACTGTAATCCTAACACTTATGAGGTAAAGACAGGATCAGAAGTTCAAGGTCATCTTTGGCCACATACTGAGTTCGAGACCATCCTGGGCTACGAGACTTCATCTTTAAAAAAAACAGCCAGTCAGGTGTGGTGATGCACACCTTTAATCCCAGCATTATGGAGGAAGATGCAAGGAGATCTCTGAGTTCAAGGCCAGCCTGGTCAGAGTGAGTTCTAGGACAGCTAAGGTTACATAGAGAAACCTTGTCTCCAAAAAAAATAAAGTAAATAAATACATAGACAAACAATGAACTCTGGCTTATGGTACCCAGAGTTAAACAGTCTCAATGGATGCCCCCAAGAGCTGCCACTGTAGGGCCAGCAGTGCCACAGGCTGCATACCAGAAAGGGAAGGGCGCCTCCCTATGCTTACCTGGACCCACATCAGGACCGGAGAGGTGACCGTCAGCCTGTCCTTGTGTACATGGACACCGCCCTGAGTTCTGCAGGGAGAACATGTATGTGGGACGGAGCCCCAGGCAGGCCGAGCTCTGAGGAACTGCCCCACAGTGGGTGGCAGAGGCCTCCTCCACACAAAGGACAATATCCCTTGAGTGCCAAGCAGAAATTATGTACTAAGCAGGGAAAGATGTAAAGAAAAGGCACAGGCACAGAGTCTTTTCATATGAAACTGGACAGCTTTTTCTCAGTTTTCATTTCATCTATATGGGTGCTTACATACATGAATGTGTGTACCACATGTGTGCCTAGTACCCTTGGAGGTCAGAAAAGGCCATAAAATCCCCTAGAACTGGAGTCATGAATGGTTGACAGTGGGTGTTGGGAACTGAACCTAGGTCCTCTGGAAGAGCAGCCAGTGGTCTTAACTGGAGTCTCTCCAGCCCTGGGGAAGCCTTTTCTAGAATTACCACCTCAGAAGAGAAAGCCTTGCCCAGAAGGCAGGGTTTCAGTCCCCAGGATTGAAAACTGGTTGCTTTTTTTCCCTTTTCCTCCAGAGGCTTACATTGTAGTTCAGACTGGCCTGGAACTCACTCCTGATGGCTGAGGTTGTAGGTTCAACACCCGAAGAGCAGGTAACTTATATAAGAGAAGTTGAGGGTTTAGCTTCATGATACACTGTTTAATATGTACAAAGCCCTTTCTGATTCCAAGAGCAAAAAGAAAAATGAATAAAAAATTTTTTAAAGGAGCAGTCATGCGTGATGGCACTCTCCTGTCATCCCTACTCTCTGGAGGCTGAGGCAGGAAGGACTACCAACTGGGGGCCAGCCTAGAAAAAGGGAGCCTTTTTCTCAAATGAACAAAACAAAAAACAACACAAACAAAACAACCAGACAAACAAAACCAACACAAAAACCCCAGACATGGCAGCTGTAACCTCAAATTTCAGAATTAAGGAATAAACAAAGATTAGGAATTTAAGGGTCCCTTCAGCTACACAATGAGGTACACGAGACCCTCTTTCTAAAAGGGGTGCAAGGTGAGAGAAGATACATTCAGGTGCACATATATGTGCACATGCCGTGTGCCAAAAGTAGTCTAAGAAAAACAAGGCAGACAGTAGATGTGACCACTTAACTCTGGCCTGAAAGAAGCATGAGCTGACGTGAATGTTTTTCCTTATAACATCTTCAGTCTGCGGTATTTTTTCTTTCTTTTTGAGACAGGGTTTCTCTGTGTAGTCCTGGCTGTCCTGGATCTCACTCTGTAGACCAGGCTGGCCTCAAACTCAGAGGGCCACCTGCCTCTGCCTCCCAAGCGCTGAGATTAAAGGCGTGCGCCTCCCCAGCCCAGCCTTGTGGCACTCTTCCATTAGTAACAGAAGGTAGCCAAGAACAACCATCAAATTGTGCCTGGCACAAAACAGATCTAGAATCTATGAGTGAGTGAATGAATTCAATTGGGAAGGAATAGGGAAGAAATCGCTCTCTGTATGTAAAGAAAAGATTCTCGGGAGCTGCAGAGATATATAGCTCAGGGGTTAAGAGCACTGGCTGCTCTTCCAGAATAACTGGGTTCACTTCCCAATACTCTATGGTGGCTCACAACTGTCTGTAATTCCAGTCACAAGGGAATCCGATTTCCTCTACTGGCCTCTTTGGGCACCGGTCAGGAATGTGGCGCACAGACATACATGCAAGCAAGCACATATACAATACTGTAATGACAGATGCTCAGAGGTCTGTGTAGACCTCTCTTGCAGCTGGGTTAAGTCAGAACAGTATAGCTGATAAATGCAAACGGTTTAGGGAAGTTCTCAAACCGCTCACCCACACACGCACAAATTCTGTACGTACCCAAATTCTGGAAGGTCTCTGTCAAAATGCACACTGTCCTCATAGAAGACGTTCAACTCTGCATCAACAGCAACAACTTTAACCTAGAAGACATTTATAAAAACGCTCTATAGGATTTTCTCAGCCTCTACCCTGGCCCAAGAGGCTTCTAACTTCAGTTAAGGTTCAGCATTGAGACAAAGGCTAACAGGCATCATTGAAAGAAAAGATTAAAAAAATGAGAATTCCAGAAGAAATTCTCACTGTCTACAAGAATCCGCTCCCCAAACAGTGGAGGTCATGGTTCTGCACCTGGCAAGGAGGCTTATCTCCAGGGGTTGTCCCCAGAGCCTTGACTACCATCAAGCCAGACGTGACATCCTAAGGAAGCCATTCCAAACTCAGGGAAGATGGAGAAACATCTAGTAGGGCAATGTGATTGAGTCCTAAGGGCTGTTCCCACAGGGACCCGCAGGATTTCATAGGTCTGAGAAGGGTTTCACAGCTACTATGCTTATTTCTCAAGGGCGAGTGTTGAACTCCTCCAGGGTGTCCCATGCCTACTTGGAAGGCAAATTGCTAATTCACTCAGCTATCGCTGGGAACACCAACCTCTGACCAACAGTCCTGGAATCACAGACCCTGGCACGCTAATGCCAGCCATGAGGGGGTGGGGGAGGGAGAGAACAGGCAAAGTCCATTTGCAAACTATGCCCATTTCACTTTTAGAAAATAAAAGTGTGTGGCATGGTGGCACCTTCCTTTAAACCCAGCACTCAGGAGGCTATGGATAGTGGATCAGTGTTGAGTTCAAGGCTAGCCTGGTCTCCACAGTGAATCCAGGCCAGCCAAAGCTACATAGTAAAAGTTCTATCTCAAATAAAATAATAAATCAAAGTAAAGTAAAGGCGCTCAGCTGTGATCTGGATCTAGGCTATGCATGCGCGCACACCTCTGCCAGTCTGTGGGCTCTGCTATTTTCGCTGAGTGTCTCGGATTCCAGCCATCTGCAACCGGGACACGAGTAGACCCCTCGAGGTACTCCCCCACTCCCCCTCCACTACGTGTTCTTGGGGTTCCGCAGAAGGCACCCGGGGTTTCCGGGAGGACGCCTCTCACTGTCAGGGCATCGCCAGGCTCCCGCTCCGCCCTCCCCGCCGCGTCCCCCTGCGTACCTGCTGCGTGCTGAAGTCCCAGCCCAGGCAACAGCGGCGGCCCGCGCGCTCCGCCATGGTCCTAGGGGTTCCCGCTGCCCGTCTGTGCGTCCGTGCGTCCATGTGTCCTGCGGCGGCGATACTGTCGCTGCGCTCCGTCGCTCAGAGACGCCAGGGCCCGCCTTTCGCCACGCCCGGCAGGACTCTGGACTGGAGTCACGAGGCGGGACTGCCCTCTGGCGCCGCCTGCGGGAAGGTCGCGAGTGGGACTGCGTCTGACTGGGGCACGTAGTGGTCGCTATCAATGCAGGTCCCTACTCTGCAGCGCAGTGGCTTCCCTTCAGTTTCACCCACCTCTGCCCCGACCTAATGTAATCCCAGCACTTGGGGGGCTGAGATAGGAGGATCTCAAGTTCATGACTAGCCTAGGTAAATAGTTGAACCCCTGTCTCAAAATTAAAAAGGGGCAGAAGAAGCCAGTTGTGGTGGTGCGTGCCTTTAATCCCAGCACTCAGGAGGCAGAGACAGGTGGATCTCTGTGAGTTCAAGGCCAGTCTGATCTACACAGAGAATCCCAGGACAGCCAGAGCTACATAATAGAGACACTTTGTCTCAAAATAAAATGTGGGGTGGGTTTCTGAAGGTCAAGCTGGGCCTGTTGGTGCACGCCTTTAATTCTAGCAAGAGGAAGGCTGGGCTAGGCAGACGGGTCCGTATGCCTCTGAGGCCAGCCTGATCTACAAAGCAAGTTCCAGATCAGCCAAGGCTACATAGTTAGCCGACGCCCCCCCCCCAAAAAAAAATGAAAGGAAGGAAAAGAAAAAAGGAAGTGGCAGCTGAAGATAATTGCTTTCGTCTGACCTGTGCCCTAGAGTCAACTAAAAAAATAAAAATCTTAATTAAATTTGGGATAGTAGCTTACACTTTAAATCAGTACTTGGAAGGGTAAGACTAGAGGCCCAAGAATTTGAGGCCCACCTGTCTCAAAAATAATAATAGTAATAATAATAATAATCTCTCTCTCTCTCTCCCTCTCTCTATCTCTCTCTCCCCCCCCCTCCCTCCACCACCCTCCTATTTTTTGTTTAACAGTCTTGACTAGGCTCAAAAATTCCTTCTGCCCAGATTGGCCTTGAATTTGCAGTCCTCCCGGCAGAGCCTCCCAGTAGCTGAGATTAAAGGCCTGTAACACCAAGTGCGGCCTGACGAGATCCATTCTAAGATAAGGTCACTCATACCCCACAGTGGCCTTGAATTTACAGTGTAGCTGGAACTGGCCTTGAATTCCTGGTCCTCCTGCCTCACTTTCTCAAATGCTGTGATTGCATATTGAAGTCAAGATTCCCAGTTTAAAATTATCTGTTATTGTGACCCAAGGGGTCAGCAGACTGCCTGGGCTGAGTTCAGATGTGGTGCAAGACTCTCGGTGCCCCCCCCCCAAACAGTATGTCCACTGTGTGCCTGTTTGAGACCTGCAGAAAAAGGCTTAGTGTGTGATGTCAGGAAAGAGCGTGGGTGCACAGCCTAAAGAATGGGCCTTTGCATTCTGGAGGCAGGGAGAGGCAGATCTCTGGGAGTTCAAGGCTAGCCTACTCTACATAGAAAGTTCCAGGACAGCCAGGACTACACGGTGAAACCTAGTCTCAAAAACGGGTGGGGGTGGGGGGTGGGGGGTAGGGGGGATGATGAAATACACAAGAGGCCACTGCCAGATGGAGAGGGGCTTCATACTCTTAGTTGGACACAGGGAAAGGCGTTCAGGCATTGTGGGTGACCTAGTAATTTAGTTAGAATACTTGAGGCCCCTCTGGGGTGTCTGAGAGGAGATGTTGGGCAGGCCAGTTTGAATGTGTGACCTCTAACTCAGGAAAGAGGTCTTTCTGGGTTTCAAACAATGATTAAGGAGCTATTGTCTCTAAGTGGGTTAGTCAGGTGTGAGAAAAGAGCTCAGAATAGGACAGGTGGAGGCTACTCGGAATTATGAAGAAAACATGGAACACACATGAGAATCATGACAAGCCTACGGGGAAGATGCTAGATAAACCTTCCTCGAAGGCAGGCCTTTGCCAGTTAAACGCTACCTAGAAGTATGTTCGGTTGAAAAGCGGAGAGGTGGGTCTAAAACTTGGAAAGAAGAGTCAGTGGGATCTCAAGGTCCTTACTGTGCGTGGTTCATGTTGCTATAAGCAACGCCAACAGCCTAAACAGTTTCTCACAGTTCTCAAAGCTGGGAAGTCTAAGGCCATATAGCGCTGATGGTCAGCTCCCGGTGTGGGCTCTTTCCCACATGTGCAAATGGTGGCGTCCTCTGTGTGCCATGTCCATAGAGACATGCTGTCGAGGGGTACAGGGAAGAAGGCACAGCTTCACTCCAACATCCATAGTAGCCTAGGAAGCTCCCCCTTATCTCTTAGTTACCACAACTCCAGCCAACTGAAACTCCTGGCTGTAACACAGAAAACTATCTCAGGATCAGCCAATATAAAGCAGAGTCCGGTTTATTTCAGTTTTTGTCTTTACATTGATTGATGATTGATCAATTGACTGATGTGGTGTGTATGGTGACATGTGTGTAGCTGTCAAATGACCATGGGATTCTGGGGATCAAACTCAGATCATAAGGCTTGCCAGCAAGGGCCCTTACCCATTGAGCCATCTTGATGGCTCAAGATATTTTAATAAAGACCCTAAGTGTAAAGGCTGAGAGAAAGGCCATGTGGAAGAGGGGCTGGAGAGATGGCCCTGTGGCTAAGAGCACATACTGCTCTTGCAGAGGCGTTGGGTTTGATTCTCAGTACCCACATCTGTAGTGAGTTCAAGATCAGCCTAAGCAGCTTAGTGGTCCATCTGAGTATAAAATGCAAGTTGGAAGAGTAGCTCAGCCATAGAGCGCTTGCCTAGCAGGGACAAGGCTACAGATTCCAGGATTGTTACACAAAAAGCAAAACAAAGAAACTACCAGAAAACAGGGACTGAATTAGATAAGCCAATTATAATTCAGATTCAATAATTTGTTTTATGCATCTATAATTTTATAATATATTTATATACAGAAGAATTCATCTTGGGGGTATATTGGAAATTAAATCTATCTTCAGTCTATTTTTTAAAGAATTTTTAAAAAGATTTATTTATTCATTTAACGTATGTGAATACACTGTCACTCTCCTCAGACACACACCAGAAGAAGTTATCAGATCCCATTAAAGAGGGTTGTGAGCCACCATGTGGTTGCTAGGAATTGAACTCAGAACCTCTGGAAGGGCAGTCAGTGCTCTTAACCATTGAGCCATCTCTCTAGCCTCTTATATTCAGTCTATTGTGAGTCAGAAGAAATAAAATTAGTCTTTAGATCGGTGGGAAGTTGTTATGAGGGAAGATGGCATTTTGACCAACTGTTTCTATCAGGGCAAGCATAACGTAACTCCTGGTCCAAGGTGGACGGTGGGGTTGGACTTGCCTTCTGTTACATCAGTAGCTTCTGTTAAAAGGGCAGCCGACACTGAGGTTTTTAAAAAGCTGAGTTCAAGTTTGCATCTGGACAAACGCTTGATGGGCTCTGGTGTGTAAGCAAACAGCTCTGTGGGGAGAGGAGCTTGTCCTTCCCAAAGGGGACAAGCTGGCCGTGTGTGTTTGTACTCTTTAGAAGCAACTCTGACTTAGAAAAATTAAATGTTCATCTTCTTTCTGATTGTACTGTGATCATCAGGGTCTGCCTGCCTCCTTCTGTGCAAATTCGAAACTAGTCCGTCTACACTCGTGAAGGAAAAGTCTGGAAAGACATAACCCTGTGTTATCATGAAAATCATTGAGGCTCAGAAACTGGTGGTTAAGGGGTGATGTTTCCATTGCCATCTACTTTATATGGTTTATAACTTGCAATTTATGGCCTGAGATGATACAGAAAAGGAAAACATACAGGAAAATAACACACTATCACCCACTCCGCGGTCTCTCCCATCCTACCACGCCTTTCAGGGGAAGATAATGTGTTGTTCTTCAGACCATGTCAGCCTAGCATTACATAGACCTCAAACTCACAGTGGTCTTCCTGCCTCAGCCTCCCAAGTGCTGTGATTATATTCCGATCAGAACTTTTAAAAGAAATATCCATTTTAAAAATTATGTGTATGTGAGTGCAGATACCCCTGGTGTTCACGAGGCTATTGTTACAGGCAGTGGCAAGCCACCTACTAGGAATGAATCAGATGCTCTGAACAGTCAGATGCACCTTTAACAATTGAGCCATCTCTCCAGACCTGATCAGAACTTTTCATCATTCTCTTTATGAGACAGAATTTTTTTCCTTTTATTGAAAATAGGATTTTTTCTTACAAACTAGATCCTGGTCCCGTGTCTCTACCCTCCATTTCTCCTGGTTCCCCCTCCTCTTCTCTCACACATGGATCTACCCACTTTCTGTCTCCCATTAGAAAATGAACAGGCTGCTAATGAATAATAATAAAGTATAACATAGTGAAAAATAATCAGATAAAACAAAAACTAACACATCACAATAGGACAAAACAGACAGAAGAAACAGAGCCAGAGAACAGGCACAAGAAACAGATACAGACACAGAGACCTGTGCATTCGCACAACCAGGAGTCCCAGTGTGTGTGTGTGTGTGTGTGTGTGTGTATTTCCTTGGTGTCTTCCATAGAATTTGTTGCAGCCCAGGCTTGCCTCAAAGTCATATGTACTCAAGAATGAACGTCATTGAATGAACTCTTCTGCCCTCACTTCACTTTGCAAGTGTTGGTTTTACAGGCATATATATACACCACTGTGTTTGGCTTAAATCTTTCCTCTTAATAATTAGTGGTTTGGCCAGGCATGGTGGCACATGCCTTTAATTCTAGCACTTGGGATATCTCTGAGTTCAAGGTCAACCTGGTCTACAAAGCAAGATCCAGGATAGCCAGGGCTCTATTACACAGAGAAACCCTGACTCAAAAAAAAAAAAAAACCTAAAATAATGATGATAATGATGATGATGATTAGAAGTGGCTTCAGGAGGGGTGGAGGGACAAGCCTGTAATCGCAGCACTTGAGAGAAAAGCACACGACGACGGGCAGCTCAGTGCAGCTCTGGTCTAATTCCCACCCAGTTTTGCCAAAGTTC